ATAATAGGACTATTATAATAGTCCTGAAATAGAGACAAAGGTGCCTTTAGTTCTGTAACATCATTCTTCTGAAATTCAGAAAAGAACTTGATCCTCCTCCTCCTGAGGATCTGATCATGTTTTAGAGCAATTTCTCTTGCAGCATGCCTGATTTCTCTTCTAAATCCTCTACCTTGTCTCTCCCAGTGCCTCTTTCCTTGAGATGTAACAATTCAGATGCATGTAGAAATATGTCACCCATACCTCTATACCTTTGATTGAATTATATTTCTGTATTGTTTATGAACTTGCTGTGCATTTGCAATCATTATTAATAAATCAATGTGCTTTTGTCTTCTGTCACGAAGTAATGTGTGTATTCAAAAAGAATTGTATGCAAAAACAAGTCATGTTTTAGAACTCATATCATTAATAATTATCAGTTTGCAGTATTGTTACAACATGTTTTGAGGGAAGCTTATTATAAAAGAAATAACAAGGCACTGCACAGTAGAAAGAATAAAGACAGTTCAGTTGATCACTGGTATAGGTGTTATAAATATGCCAGTCTGTACTATAGTGTTTTATTAAGTCTCAAAAAGTCAAAGCTGATTTGAAATAATAATGTCTGACAGTCAGGGCTTTGAAGTTTTGCTGCTGCACTCTCACATTTAGGTTTTCTTTTATGTATGACTTTACCATAAAAAAACAAAAACTCACACATGGCATGAACGTCTTTTTTTTTTTTTTTTTCTCTGTATTTCAAAGAAAGTAATAGGAGGCTACTTCAGTGAATTAAGAGGAAAAAAAAAAAAAAAAGGAACAACTCCCCAAAATCCATGAGGATAGGTACAGGCCACTGTCAGGTCATCCAGTATTCATGTAAGCTATAGCTGGGGTGAGTAACTTGTTGAAGAATGTAAAAGTGAAATTAAAAGGAAAAAAAAAACAACAAATAACAGAACTGAAAACGGAGGAGAATAAGGATGAGACAAGAGGCAAAAGCTATTCCTGATTCAAACAAGATGACTTTCATCCAGCCACAAGAGCTGGAGAGCTTGGCTGTGGTAGCTAACACGCTCGTTCTCCATCACTGGCCGTGCAACAAAGAGCTGGATTCCATCCATTCCATGACTGATTGATTACCCCACGGACAAATGTTAATTCTTTTCATCGATGCTTTGTCATTGTGAAGAGATCCTTTTCATCTAACACCTAGGGTTTTTTCCCCCCCTCAGCTTTTTTTTTTTTTTTTTCCCTGATTATATATATCTTTTAACATCCTCTTCTCATTCACCTTTGCAAAACTGTCATGTCTAACAAGATTCTCACAGTACTTTAAACTCCTTTAGTTTACAATTAAAATTGCTAACTAAGTATGTAACAAACCGTGATATTAAATAATACTCAATGATTTAATTTAGTCATCATAATTATACTTAACCTGTTTGCTGTCCTTGAAGGAAATTTTTTTCCTGGTTCACAAGAGAAGAATATAAAAGAAGAGAAGCTGTGTGGTTTTTTTTTTAATAGAATAAATTGCTCCAGTGCAACTTCACGAGTTTGATGCTACATGTGCCAGTGGAAAATATGCTACTTTGCAGCATAAGCCTAACTGTGGTTTATAAAGTCAGTGAGAAGAGCTAAAAATGTATAAATGCTAATTTCTTTCATTGCTTCTTTTATAATTGTCTCTAGCAAGACAAATACCCCTGAATTTTGGGAATGTCGGGATGCACAGGGGTTTGGAGTGGTGCAGAAGCAGTGCAGGGAGATGATGCAGTGCAGATGTGAATTTGTGTCTTCACTGCTCCTTTCTTCCCTGCTCAGTGCCGGGTTCCAAGTCGAGGTTTTGTTTCTATAACGAACCAAATCAGAAAATGAATCAAATATGGATGAAGACATTTTACTGATGTCAGAAGATATCTCTGTAGATTTTATATGTCTGTAAAAATTAATTTTCGGTGCAGAAAGAAGAAGAAGAAAAAAATCCCCTTCTGATTCACAAACCTTTTCAAAATGTGTGTTTGTGAACACGGAATACAGAACTTGAGGGGAGTCACGCCTTTCAAGTATAAGCCTTTATATTTAGTTTTGGGTCTAATGTGGAGGACCTGCAGAGGGCTTTAACCACATAGCATTATTTTAAATTGGAAAAATTATGCAGAATAAACATGGTAATTGAAAATTTACCGGATTTTCACAGCGCTACTTTTGCAATGATATAAAAAAGTTTATTAAAAAGCTCATTGTGTAATCATTTTTGTAATCCTCCCAATAGCAAAATACAGTAGCTATAAATTGTGTGGTCAGATCCAGAACACGGAATTTGAATGAGGTAGGGGTGTTAAAAGAACTTTCTTAAGGAATTTTTCAGCCATTTGTAGAGAAAAATTCTAACTAGCAATGTGATTATATCAAAAAAGCACACAAATAGACCTGTTTTCCTATCTAGCTCTTTCCCAGTCTGTCTTTAAAAATACATTTTTTGCCCTTACATAATATAAGAACACTACAGATAAGCATGGGTGTTCTTAGGAACAGTGAGGGAAGAAATAAAAGAAGTGCTTTTGAGGAAAGTATTTTATCAACTCCAGTAATATGCTAGTTATTTCTTTTTTTTTTTTCTTTCTTTATTGAAATCTGTTTTTTTTTTTCTTTGTGTGAATTGAGGAAAGCATCTTAATTAAAAATAGTAGAATATAAAACTTATAGCAAACATCAAAATAAAATTCTAAAGCTTTTTTTTCCGGGATGTGGGGTCTGAAATTTTGGCAGGGGAAAAACACAGAAACCTCTTTTTAAACGAATCATGATATCACAAAAAAGGACAAATTATAATGTTCTATTGATAATTGATGGTTATTTCTTGATTCTCCTATTATCAGGCCAGAACTCATAAAAGTAATAAGTGCCTGTTATTGTTAAAAGTAAATTGTTATTATATAACTAGTATTTTAACACTGCCTATTGCAACTTACTGCTCCTTAATTTTGTCTCTTTCATAGAAAGATATAATTAGTCAATAAATTAGCTTTTCTGCTGAAATATTACTTCAAAAATATTTATGAGCTGTGTTGTCTTTCCGTGGAGGCTTCCACGGTGAAAATGTGCTGCAATTAAAACCTGATCTTTGATCTCTTGGTAGTTACAGTTTGGTTTGCTTTCAACTGGTTTTTGTTTCGTTTGGGGTTTTTGTTTGTTTGTTTATGTCAAGTGAGTTACACTAATGAAATTTTAGGCTGAAATGACTCATACCCTCAAATACAATTGGACATATGACAATTTTCTTCCTCAAACTTCTCCCTAAATCTTTAACTCCTCCTTTTGTGACCTCTTTGAATGTCTCTCCTCCCTCTGAGTATTTTTGGAATCCTCTGAAGCAGAACAAACTGTTACCCGTTGCAATGATATGATCTGTGTTGCCATTCTTAAATCTGGGCTTTTTGCTTTTGCTTTCACATGTGTGAGTGCTTCTGCTGGGACTGCTGAAATGAGAATTTCAGCTGTGATTTGACCTTAATCTGCCAGGAATTCAGTGGAAGTTAACTTAGACTGAATTCTGCCTTCACCTACAAGCCACTGTTAATTCGTGACTGGAGTAGGACCCGTACTAAAATAATTAAAATTTGGAATATTATTTGGCAAACTGGGCCTAAGAGCTTCCAAGGAGTTCAGCACAGACATTGTTGGTGAGTCTGCCTACAGGTGAAAGTGAGCATAGAGAGTTTAACAGAGATTTTATTATTGCTAACTGGGAAGGAAAACGAGGTGTTGAGTCGTTGGTGAAGTTTTCTTGATAATTGTTTAGAAATCTGAATTGTGCTTCTTAAAAGTCATAAAACCCCACACCACATTACCCACTGAATCACAGAACGACCTGGGTTGGAAGGGACCTTAAAGATAATTTTATTCCAACCCCCTGCCATGGGCAGGGACATTTTCCACCATCCCAGGCTGCTCAGAGCCCATCCAGCCTGGCCTTGGACACTGCCAGGGATGGAGAATCCACAGCTTCTGAGGAAACCTGTGCCAGTGTCTCACCACCCTCCCAGTAAAGAATTTTCTCCTAATATCTAATCCAAACCTGCTCTGTCTCAGTGTGAAGCCATTCCCTCTTGTCCTGTCACTTCATTCTCTTGGAAATAATCTCTCTCCATCTTTCTTGTAGGCTCCCTTCATAAGAATTTCTAGCTTAAAAATCACCTTTTCTGGGTATGTGCAAGGTTATCTATAATTAGACATGCGAGCCAATTTAATTTAGGAACTGAAAAAACCCTTTAGAATATATTGAAGCCTGTTATGCTCAATGTAAAATTTTGTAGTGAGACTGGGGTCTGATCATAAGAAGTTTACCAGGGCCAATCTTTTACTTTCTGCAAAGTGTAATGACTTCAGTGACAGCTTTGCCTGCAGAAGGGCTCCCAGGCTGGGGCCAAGCCTTGAAATGCATTCTGAGGTTCATGTGACGAGAGCTGATCCTCTAATCATTGCATGTTGTTTATAGAGCACTGAGAAAATTTCTGATACTGCGAACATCGAATATGTAGAGTGCCTTCATGAATTCCATGGAGACATTATGTGAATAACTTTTGCATTGACATGGGTATAAAAATGGGTTTCAGATGTCACTGTGTGCCAAATTTCCAAAAAAAGCTCCTAAATCTTCATGTATAATTTCGAGTGTACAATCATTCTCAAATGAAAAAGACAGAATTCGTATATATACATTGGCAATCTATGCATGTAAATTGGCAGTTAGCATGCATAAATCCTCAACGAAGTTTTCCTTTCAATTAGACCCTTGTTAAATCCATAGTAACTCCATTAACCTCAGGGGAATTACTTTGGATTTAAAATGCAGTTAAATAAGAACTCTCTTTGGCTGCAAGATCATTTCTTTTCTCAGCTATGGTTCGACTGGTACTGGGAGAACAGTTTTAAAATGAAGGTGGTACCTGTTTTCCTGTAAGAATATGTTTCATAATTCTTTCTTTCTTTTTTTTTTTTTTCCCAAATAGACTCATCCTGTATGGAAAAGCTACTTTCTAAAGACTGGAAGGAGAAGATGGAAAAATTAAACACAAGTGATCTCCTTGGAGAAATTAAAGGTATCTCACTAGATCAAATTTTCAATGTTTGCATATATTTTAAGAAGGGGATTGAGGATTTTTGAAAGTTCAGAAAAGAGAAATAGCTGTCATGACTAGAGGGTGCCATTCTTCCCGGGCAAATCACCCTGATTTTTTAATGTTTACCTTTGAAATGATGGATGAGTGTGCCAAAAAAAAAATGGAGAATGTCCCAATCAGTTGTAGGCAGTATCAGGGATGCTTTCACAAACCACCAGGGCATTACATGAGTTCACTGACATCAGCCCTGGAGCTCTGAGCAGAGGAAGAAATGCACAGCACCTGTACTTGGTGCTGCTTCTTCCCAGTTGCACAAACTGTGTGTAGAAATACAGATTATAAAGGGTGATCATGGTGTCATTGCTATTCTAAAATCTTTGATTCAACATTGAAAAAAAACCGAAATTTCTGTTAATCCCCTTAAGCAGAGGAAGAGCAGGTCTGGAAAAAATTTTGGACTTAGTGAAATCAGTGTGAAATTTGTTGTATGTGTGGGCAATAATTTCCAATATTCTCATTATTTCTTGAGCCAGCATCCTAGGAAAAGTAGAATTCTCTTGACAATTAAGTACTGGACAGAAAACTTGAAGTCTTTTCCCCCACCCATCATTTCTTCCATGTATTTTCTTAGTAAGAAGAAATTCAGTGTTATTGATTAAGCAACAAATTTAACATGTGCTTTTTTTTTGGTGCTGTGAGAAGGGGTCATAAGACATTTTTGAGGAGTACACAAAGTACCCAAGATTTATCTCTTTTCATTTGTATAATTTTGTTAAATTGCAACTACAAAGGTGTGGAAACAAAGAGTCATGTTCATAATAGTAATAAATCTTTTCTGTAAAATTCTTTAAAAAAAGTAATCTGAAAACAAAAATATTCTATTTGATGAAAATTGATGCTTGGGGATTTACACTGGTGAAATTCAGGATAGTTAATTTTTTTCTTTAATTTTATTATACGAGTAGATGAAAGACTGGCTTTTTTAAATAAGTAAGTTATAATTGGTTCCTTCAGGACCAAAAATCTGTTGGATTCTCCTGATTTTTCTGGTAGAATTATGACAATCCATATATGTTAGGCAGGTAAGAAATCCCATAGTAATATCAGTGACAGAAACACAGCATAAAATTTTGCAGGAGCATGTTAAAATTGACTGCAATAAAATCCCCAAAATTGTCTTGAAATCACAATCTATTTGAAGCCATATTGTCTCTTAATAGTGTGGAAAACACTGAATGCTAGTTGAATTATTATTGTCTATTAATTGCAAAATATAGCTACTTAGTCTTTAAATAGAAACTACTTGAATGCTATTAGCGAATCAAATTTAAAAGAGGTGGCATCCCTAACAATGCAGAATAATGTTCTTTATTCTTTTACATGGCACAGAATGCTTTCTAATGACATCTCATTTATGGGAAAAGGAAGGTTTGTTCCTCTGGATTTACATTGTTCCTCCTGTTTTCTTAGCATGTGTGTTCTGTGCACAGTGAGTGGGTGGAGTTCTTGCCTCTCATCCTTTTCTCATCTACCTACAAAGCACTCTCACTCAGATTTGGAAGAAATCTCGACCTTTTCCAGGGGAGTAGCCTATTAGCTGTATAAAAAGGATCATCAGATGAGGCTCAGCAGATTTCTGTGTTGCCAGTCCCTCAGTTTGTTTCCACAGCCCCATCTCCTGTGTAACCTGTCCTTAAGCTGTCAAAATATCTCAAAATATCTGCAATATTCATCCTTGCTGCTTGTTGGCTTCCAGCAAGATGTGATGCTGAATCTTTGCTGCTGCTGCAGCTGCATTTAATTTTTTAAAAACAGAGCCAACATGGAAGACAAATAATGGTTGCTCTTATGTTGTGCTTTGCACTTCAAACCTCTTGACAAAGGCATTAGTGTCATTTTATAGAAGAAGAAAATTAAGTTCAGGATTACAGAGCTGGAGTAGGAGCAGGTCTGAAGTGGGAATCCTTCCTTTCCTTTGGGCTCCCAAACCCATGGCTAACCAGTCTCCAGGCTGCCATTATTAACCCAAGGGTCTGCTATTAACTTCTATTAGCATTTGTGTACCTTAAATCAGCTCAGAAAGGACAAAAAAAACCAAAAAACCAAAACCCAAAAAAAAAAAAAACATCTAGTACATGGCAGCATGAAAACTTGATTACACGAAGGAAACAAAACAAAGTAGGGGAAGCATACTTTAAAATAAATCCTTGCATTGTTCAAGGTGGTAGATTCCAATCTAGATTCAATCATGAAGTTCATTTTCATAGTGATGATTGAATTTCCAGCAAGGTAACTGGCAGGGCATTCTGGGATCTGAAAGAACTACATTTGAAAATCTGTTGTCTTTGGGAGGTCAAATATATTTTTCCTTAATTTCCATGAGATTCGAAATAATTTTATTGATTTGCCCTTGTGCAGAATTTCTACTCATATTACTGGGAGCCTAACTTAAAGGCATGAAGTGATGGGGTAAAAAAAATAAATAAACGAGTCTATTAGGGGGAAAAAAAAAAAAAAATCTTGATTACAAGAAAGGAAGGTGTGGTCCTGTGAGGAACTGCTCTTTGCACTGACTGTTACTGGGAGTTGTTTATTTTAGAGAGAAGGCGTTGTTCTCACTAAGGATAACCTGAGCACATATTCTTCCTCTGTGTCTGCACAGCCACAGCCCTCCCCCTGCAGTGAAAGACTAGCATCTTGGTTGTGGGAAGGCAGTTCACTAAGAATCAGTGCCAGAAAAAAAAAAAAAAAAAAAAAAGGATGAAAGCAGGGAAAAAAAAAATAAAAAAAAAAAATGTACCACTGACACAAACTGTTTCTATTCATGTTTGGGAAGCACACAGACAAGAAGAAAAGATAATTGGCTGAGAGAAACAAATAAAAACGGTATTTTCTTGCTTTACCTTCTATATTTAGAACACAATAGTGTTAATCAAGATATAATTATAAACTATATCTATTAATTCAGACAATAGAGGCCAATACAAAAGTAACAAACAGTGAATAATTCATTTTTTTCTCAGTGTGGGATTGTTCCTGTTCACAATTATTCTTGCATAGTGTGCTTCACTTGTAAAATTGCTTTTTCTGAGTTTCTTTATTAGGATTTCAGTTATTGATAATGGTCCAGATTCTTCCTTGAATTGCAGCCAAACAAGCCATTGACTTCAGGGAGGTTGCATGAAACTGAGGAGAATCTGGCAGAATGCTTTGTAGCCAAATTCCAGTGGTTAAATAAGTCTGCTTGTTCACTTGATATGTTTATAAATGAAACACATAGGTCAAATTTTCAAAGGTCTCTGAAGCAGTTGACCTGAGTTAAATGCTTTGCTCACCTGGAAAAAAAAAAAAACCCAGAGCTGTCTGTGCAAATCATTAGCTTGTATGCTATTTGCCAGAGTGTGCATGCAAATAGATTTATTTAAGGTATACAAGCAGTTTGTTAGGCTTACATCTGGCTTTTGCAGTATTTGGTTTCTTTTGTATAAAAATTAGGATCAGGAAATACTTTTCATTGGAATTGTTGTTATTACATATTTGAATAAACAAAGCGAGGCAGGGCTCTTCTCTTGATTTCCAGATATTTGGGTGCTCAGAGTTCTGTCCTCACCCTCCCTCACTGCATGCATTTCTGTTGCTTGGTTATCTAGTTTTTCTTCAGCAGCCACAGCTAGGCAGAGTAGCATCATTTATCACTATCCAGAGTCTGTTTTAAGTTTTCTGTTTCTGTTCCAAATATAAATCTCAGGAACAGCACGGTCTTGCATGCATCAGGCAGTTGTCCTGCTGAAATAGCCCTCAATGGTCTTTCTCAGCATGCAGAGTCTTTGAAGATCAAATAAGAAAGGTCAGTCTTTAAGTAACTTAAGCAATGGTGTTATCGTGGAAGGGTCACAATTGGTCTAGCAGCCTGAGAGTGACTCCTGTGCTGCAGGTTAGTGCTGCCCCTTCCACCAGGGCTGTTTACAACTGGACTCCCTGTATTTATAGGCTATTTATATTTATATTTATATTTTATTGTGGCTCGAGTGTCACATGCTGCCTTTGTACAGTAGACTCTATTTTGGGGAGGTGAGTGATTGATGCCTGTGGCTTTATCCAGCACAGAATTTCAGTTTCCATGATGCTCCCCAAATCCTTTTAGGTTTGCTGCTTTAGCAAGAAGAGTCTGAGCCCCCTGTTTTTGTGTGGCATGTGCACATTTAATGGCCTCAAAATGTTTGGGTAGGTGGGAGACACCAGTCCTGTTTCCTAGGAAAAGTTGAATTTAGTATAATGAAGCAACTTCACACACTTGATAGTCTTGTAAGATATCCACAAATAGTTTTGGAAAGGATTTTTGTCCCTGGTAAGGAAACAGAAGAGACACGAGGAGGTGTTTTCTAGGAGCATTTTTTGTGTGTATTAATGACTGGAAGAGGACAGTGAGGCACAAGTGTTTGAATGCAGTAATTTAACACTCTCTGTTTCTGGAATAGTCTTGGAAAGAGTCGTGCATGAATGAATCCTTGAGAAAGTTGTGGTTTTTACAGTGAATTAATTTTTTTAAAAAACATGCATGATTTACAAAACATTTTAAAATGTTAGTTTTGCTTCTATTTTATGGGATTTGTCTTCACAGATGAGCTTTCAGGTGTTTCTTGCTGCACTATATCAAATGTGAAGTCCATTTTGAGGAAAATAAATCTGTTTTCCTTTAGCCCTGATCAACACGGTAGTCTGAATTTGTAGCAATTATTTTTCAGTATAATTGCTGAAAATTCTTTCTCATGAAGTCTAAGGGTATATAACAGTCTGCCTCATAAATATGCATAAATAAATATATATAAGTCTTATATCACAGAGGCACTCAGAGGTTTTTAATTATGTCACTTTGTATGGCTATAGACATTTCAAAGCTCCCCTTTGTGCTCTCTGTTATAAACATATTTTATTTCTTTTGAAGTCTGTGTGATATACATACTAGCAATTAAAAACCC